GACATAGTATCTTCAGAGATTATTTGTCAAAGTGCATAAATACATATTTAATAGAAAGTATCCAGCAAGTATTACATAGTATCAGCATTATTTGTATAGCATTATAATTTATTATCATTTAGTAATACCTAAAAATGAATTTATCGATGAGATTGATTTCCTATTAGGCATAGAGTTAAATGCAACCTGAGGACACTAAACAGGGGTCACCAAAAGGAAAAGGGGAAGGGTAGAGGTTATGCCTAGGTCAATGGAACATGACTGTTTGAATATAAGATCTTGCTTTCAACCTGAAAACTGTTCTCCAAAAATCACATGCCAGTCATTGTACTTTTAATATAATAGTTAGGAAAATACACAATGTCCAAATACTCCTTCAGAAGTAGTTCTTGTGCGAGTATGTATTCTACAGATCGCAGTGCCTTTGGTTTACTAGTCAGGCCACTCTCACACAAGCTCATGTAGATTCTCTAGCTCCCTGCTAGTAACTGTAACGCCCCCCCACCCCCACCCCGCCCCGCCACCACCAGGAGTCTGCAACTTTCTGCCTGGGCGAAGGTTCTTCTGGCTAAATTCGCTCATCTTGAAACTTCCACCCACACTGTTTCTTCTGCCCGAAACATTCCTCCCTTCCCTCTGTTGGCGGCCCCCTCCCTTCAGTTGGCGGCTCCCTCCCTTCTGCTCCCTGGGAACAGCCTCAGTCTTGGCTGAGGCATCGCCCCCACCCCGAACCTCCAGGGGGGCCCCCAGCACCCAGAGCACCCGTCACACCGCACTGTTTGCTCTTTGCTCGTCCCACAGGGAGAGTGTTTGTTAATGCTCCTTTCAGCCCCACTCCCTTCCCCAGTCCCTTTCAGAGCCTCAGGGATGCCGGGAGGATCAGCGAGCAGGGCGAGGGGCTTTGGGAGGCCAAAGGCCAGGGAAGCCACGCACTTCAACTAGAGCAGTTCTGTTACATCTTCTAGTACACGTATTTTATATCAAGAGGATTCGGTTCCCATTCGTGTGTTGTGTTTAGTTGTCACCTGTCTTTGGGCTCCTTCAATCTGAAACAGTCTTTCCCTGGCGTGTCTTTGGGCTCCTTCAATGTGAAACAGTCTTTCCCTGGCATCAAAGATGTCTTAAGGTAGCCACAGCCCAGTTTCTCTGATTCGGGTCCAAGTGTCTGCAGGGAACGTATCATGTGCTGTGACAGACTGCTCTAGAGCGCCAAGACATTTTTATCCTTGTAAAAGATGATCCAGAGATAACTCATCAGCCAACACACAGTCAGCCAGCAGGGAAAGGTAGCCACGATTCCAGTAGAACGTTAAACTGGCTGTTTTCAGCAACAACTGGAACTCCAGAAGGGCCTGGTGTTCACACTCCAGCAACACAGAAGAACAAAAGACTTTCTCCCTCAGTTCCCCACTTCTCTCCATTCTCTTCAGAACTCAAGAACATTTCATTCCAGCCTGGCCCCCCGAGGGGGCCGGCAGCAGACTAACTCATCAAGAAGCAAGAAACTGGGACTGTGGAATTAGTCAATAGGGCATTTGTGGTTTCAATTTTCTACCCATTTCTAACTATATTGGACATTGTCTTGAATTAGCTTATTTCCGTCATGATGCAGATTAGGATGCCATTAGGACCACAGTGGGGTAAAGATGACTTGGTTCTTAACTAGGCCAGTTGTGTCTGTCACTTGTTAGAGACAGACATTCATAGCCAGAGAGAGTAGGGCCACAGCTGTGCCCACAGCTGCCCAGTTTCAAGGGAATCCATGGCTTTTGGAAACCTGGTGCTCTTTGCACAGCTTTCCTGCTGTAAATGATGACAGCACGAAGACCTATTGTCAGGAAGGTGCATGCCAGTGACTTCAGAAACCCGGAAACCGGTAACTTATATAGAAAAAAATCTATGTGTGTGTATGTAGTTGTCTAGGATATCTGTGCACAACTGTGTAATCACAATAAAAGTAACAACTGCTAACACATAGTGCTTCATGCTTTGAAAACAGTGCCAAGTAACTTGGCCGAAGTCACACAGCTCATAGGTGGGAGAGCCAGAATTCCAGCCCACACCTACTGGTTCCAGAGTTTTGCTCTTAAATCTTGGATACACTGCTTCTCACTTTTAATTGTTTAGTTGGCTCTGCATTGACATAACCAACATGTAGCTCAAGTTGTGTTTCTAGACCCCCAAAGGACAGGTGGAAAAGACAACATCTAGATGTAAATAGGAAAAAGGTCTTAAAATTACAATTTGCAATTACTTGAGAGTACGGGCAGAACTGGTAGTGTCAATATATGTAGATAAAGAGATGCTTGCTCAGTAAGTCTGTATCTCATTTCTTGTTGAATGGCAAGATATTTTTTTAGACCTCAATGCTTCATTGTTTCAATACTGTTCCTTGCAACCCATTTAAATCTTCCAAGAATTAAGCCTTACCTCCCAGCCCCTCCTCAGACTGCAGTCTGCACATGCCATCTACAGGCATAACGAGATGCTGGTTTTCTCCTGGGCAGCCCACACGATTGCTCCACCGACAGTCATCCCTGAAAACCCTCCGAGGCAGAGTGGAAGCAGAGGCAAAGGCGAGGGAAATAGTGCAAAAACCGGTGGATGCTGGAAGGGGCAGAGGTGGGGGGCAGAATATTTTTAAAAAGTGGTAAGTAAATGAGATAAAAGAAAAGTGTAAACTCCATTAATTTAAGAGCTAGGAAAACTAGGAGATAGTGCATCGCTTCCAGACTGGAAACAGAAGTTACCTTTTACCTAAATCCAAATCACCGGGTGCTCAGGTAAATGCTTATAGTGCAAAATGGATTCTTCCAGGAAGATAATAAACCAGGAAACACAGTATAGGCTTTAAAAAATACTATATATCCACAGTAAACCTGCTGTCAATCTGACAGACTCCATTGTTCTCTTTCTGGTGCTTACATAATATCTTCTTAGGGTAAAATAAAACAAAATAGCCTGCAATTCCCTCTCAGGCAAGCCTATGACAGAAGGATCTGATAGAGAAAATGCTCCTGATGTTCCCAGTTCCCATTTTAAGGTGGAAGCCTTAGGACTCCCTAAGCCAGGACCCAAGTGAAGAAAACTGTCCTCTAAGTGAGGAGCCCTCTCCCAGCCTCTCACTGTGCTGGTATTCAGTCTTTCTTTGCGTGCATGGGCTTGTTGACTGGCTAAAGACTGACACACCTGAAATCAAAATTTCACATTTCATTTTCACTTAGAAAAATAATTCTACCTTCTCCTGGATCACTACTGCCACAGCAATGAGCTGTATGGTGTGTGGAAAAAGTACAGATGTTGGAGTCAGGCAAACGAACTTGGGTTTAAATCCCAGCTCCACCATAGTGAGCAGCATGTCTTAACTTTGGTGTCCTCCCTCATAAAAAGAGGAGTGGGGAGAAAGACTCAGATTCCTTTCCTGTCTCGCACTGCAGAAATAAATGAGGATAAAACATCTTAGGGGACAGGCCCAGAGGAGGTCATTATAAATCTGTTGTTTCTTTTCCTCCTAATTTATAGGACTAATGCAAAAATTCTGAAGCACTCTCTTTGTTCTTACTCATTTGTCAAACTTTCCTAGGGCCCTACTATGTGCCAGATAAAGAACTACATAAAAACAGATGTGGTTGTCTCTGCCCCCATGAAACTCCGGGGGGGGGGGGATGTGCAGAAATGAAACAGCCAACTGGTAAATGAGTGGATGAATTTGCTGAATCTAATGGTGGGGTGAAGCTTGAATAAAGTTTCCATTAGGGAAAAGAACATGAAGCTAAATTTCAAGTTCCCAATGTGAGCTTGGAAGCCAGACCCTGTGTGGGTTTACTGCTGGACTCCATCCACGGGGGGGTGAGGAGGAGACAAGTCTCTGAAGTTCTCTGCGCCTCCCTTTTCTCTTCTGTAAACTGGAGATAACAGTAGTTCCCCACTGGGTTGCTGTGAAAAGTAAAAGCAACACCTGTCCCTGACACTTCCTGCTTCTCTGTGCTCACTCCAGTTACCAACAGGCTTCCGTTTAGCTTCCGGCCATCCTGAGCAGACAACCTGCCCCAGGGAAGCACCTTAGCGCAGAGGTCACCCATGACCAAAAAATAAAAACTGATAGCACAGCCCCACCCCCAACCCTCCTAGGACCTAACTAGCAAAAACATGCTCTGGACCAAGCTACCTAGAGCGCCTTTCGAGGATTTGCCCGGCCCCAAGTGTTGACAATCAGGAAAACCAGCACCTTCAGAAGGTGTAGCCCTCTCCCAAGGGAAGATGATTAGAATGAGCTGGGTTCCTTGACTAGAATAATTAAGGGCTTCTGAGCCCCAACTCAGCCCAGATGGTTCTGCATCCTCACCTGAGCCTCCTGAGAGCCTGACCTCCTCCCTCTGGTTCAGCTGAGGCCGCAGCCCTTGAAAAGAAAGGAAGGGCTGGGAAGGAAAGGCCCAGGAAGTCCATGGTCTGGGAATCAGCTCCATGTGGCCAGTTACTGGCAGGAATGCATAAGTCACATACCTGAGTGTCCTCCCACACCCGGAAGACCGTGCAAAAGTAAATTGCTAAAGCAAGCAGAAATCATAGTCTTTCAGGCAGAGGTCAATCTGCCCCAACCATTTGAATCTGAAGGTAAAATGTTACATAAAAGCACTAGAAAGACACTTACATGTATTCCCTTCTACTCTTCAGAAACAAAATGCTTAGTTTCTTTTTAATAAGAAATGAGCATAAGAAATACTTAAATCAATAACTAATAAAGTTACTTCTTAGCTTGATTGTCCTGGATCAGAAACCCCCTTCTTTGGTCAGGCTGCAGCGCTGGGGCAGACAGGTGGAACCTGACAAGGTGACACGGGGCCGAAGAAGCTGCTAGCAGCGTGGCCCGGTCGCCATGGCAACCACGGTGGCGACGGGGGCGGATCCCGGGCACGTGGGACTGTGGGCGTAGGGGCTGAAAGCAGCCGCCTGAGTGGCAGCTGGGGGGTCGCTCCTGAGTAGCGTAGACGTGACTTCTGGGTTCCTGTGACCTGCATGGAAGAACTTTACGCCTGCCCCAGACCCGGTAAACGGAAAAAGACAGTTGCTTCCCAGCCCAGAATCTCCAAGTCGGCCAGGTGAGCAGAATCATCTTTACAGAAACCAAAATATCACTGGTTAGAAACTCAGATCCCCGTTCCCACTCCGGGCCTGATAATCAAAATCTCCGTGGCGAGGATCCGGGATCTGGATTTAACCAGGTGTTTTATAGGGTCTGGAGGTTGGGAGACACTGGCTTCGCCTAATCTTTTTACTCAACACCATCCCACCCCCACCACCCCGTGATGGTAATACCGCACTCCGGTCCGCCCCACTGCGGCTCTCAGAGGCCTGCGAGAACCGGCAGGAGAGGGTCCTTGGAGTTGCAAATGGAGATCCCATTCTGCTTCCTTGAACTGAAGTATAAACTGCGCTTTGTCAGTTTCCCACTTGGGGGCAGCCTCGTTCTTCGCTCCTGTTCAATGAGGAAAGCAGGGGTCCTTGGTGTTTTTTTCCAGTTAATTCCGGCTGCAATCTCCCCAAAATGAACTCATTGAGAAAGTGGGCTTGGATGCTGAGAGATGTCTCCTTAGAAGGAATGGAGCTCTAAACGTGAGAAGCTCTTAGCTCCAATTCTTGGTTTACGCTTAGGGATCAAAGGATCCTGGCTGGTAAAGCAATAATGTTCTTGTTGAGAATAATGCATGTGCACTAGACAACAGATTTCTCAGCCCTCTGAGCCTTATCCTATACTGGGCAATCAGATGAGACCTCAGGATTGATTCAAACAGCCCCAGTCCTGGATGGACTTGAACTGTAGGCCTGGGCCCTGGGAAACCAGGAGCCTCATCTGCTCACTTGGAGGAGGCTGCATGGTGGTCAAATGGGGGAGGGTGTGACATCTGCACTAATGGGAATCCCCCAAGTATACTTCTCCCTGACAGTGAAACCAACACCTGTAATATTAGCACAGCCTCCATGACAAGTAGGGAGAGGCTCAATTCAATTGGGGCATAATCTATGGGTCTCTAGTATCCTATGCATTTACCATGCCTTTTTATAGGTCGGACTTCTGTGTTATGACTGCATAACATGTAATAAGTCAGGATAGCTTGTCCTACATTAGCCTAGAAAGTACTTCTTCAAACTTATAAATGTACTTCCAAGTTACAAGGCATGAATCATTGTTAAAATAGGGTGAAGGGACTGAGATGACTTAGACCAAGTGAATGGACCACACAGATTGTCCTTTGGGGTGATAGTCTTACACAAGGGCTCACGGTCAAATAACTATAAAATACTTGATTACATATATTTCTCTATGTCAGAGCTTTTTGCGGAAGATTTTCTAAATTAGCATGTATTGTGACTCCTTAAGCCAAGGTAACTACATGCATTTCTCACACTTCCATGGCACCTTTTTTCTAAGAGAGACGTGCAGAGCAACTATTCTGCAGGGCGTGCCTTGGGAAACCCTGAGCTGGAGTAACAAAGTAACAATGACTGCCCACAAAGTCTGTGTGAGGTAGGAAGGTCGGGGCTGTTCGACACTCCTGGTTTTCAACACAGTGCTGGCAACATAGATTGGGGCTGCCTTCTTCAGGAGCAGGATGAGAGCAGTCATTTGAAATGAGAGCAGGCCCAGGACAAATAATTAAATTCCCAGAAGTCCATGTCAACCGTTTCAGGTGCTTGACATTCTTTAGTTAACAGGCAGCCCTCATTTTATTGCACTCCACAGATGTTGCAGTTTTTAAAAATGGAAAGCAAGATGCTTCACCAGCCAAAAGGTGATTTGCGTTATTGCGATAATCTGGCACGAACCTGCAATATCTTGAGTTATGCCTGTATTTAATCCCTGCAACCACTTTCTGAGATAGATATTCCCACTTTTGAGAGAAAGAAACACACTAATTATTCCAACACCACGCCCAAGCTTGTGTAGGCAGGAAGTGACAGGGCTGGTATTTGGAGCTGTATCTTCCTTTGTATGTGATAGAACCCGGGCCCAGCACCAGGGCAGCCAGCAGGGGACGGGAAAACAGCTGGTTTCATTTTTATGGTCACCTGAGTAATTAGTGGTGAAAAATGGGAGGAGAGGCCAGTAGGCTTTTCAATAGTAGAAGAAAGCCCCCAGTGTCAGCTTTGATGGTGGGCAGGGGGTAAGCCTTTTTCAAAAGATACATGGTCACGAAAAATTAGAAAATTTATTACACTAGCATCAAAGCAGTGAGTTGGTGACAGACAGAATTTGCATAGAATCATAGCAGTGAGTCAAGTCTGACTTTGAATTTCTTGATTTTGTTGAGTTGGAGAAGGCAATGCCATTAGTCAGGCTTGGCAAGAGAAGGAGAATGAAGAGAAACTTTTAAATTTTGTTTTACCATTTTGTTTTGGTGAAAAGAGAATGAGTTAGCTTTGAATAGAATGAACCTGAACAACCACTGGGATATTTAGGTAGACCAGAAGCAGGTGTGAAATTGGGGCTGGATTCTGGATTATACCAGTTTGGGTTACAGGTGCTACTTAAATCATTAGCACAGAGAGGACCAGCTAGGAGAAAATGTTTTGTGAATAAAGAGGGCAAATACTTTAGGGTACCAGATAAGAAAGCAATTTAGAAGGTGACACAATGGTCCTTTAAACTTTTTCTGAGTTTTCTGTCTTCTGCCATGCTCTACACAGACACAGAGCAAGAGCTATTTTGTGCACAAAATAGAAAATCAAGAAGGCAGAGTACAGTGGGATTTCTTCATGCTAAGACTAAATGTCCAGAAAGTGTTATGGCCTTTTGGAAACCCAAGAAACTTCTTATGTTTTAATGCACAGTCAAAGAAAGGCTGAATCCCTAGAATGAATGAATCAAAATAAATTGTAATGTAAAAGTCTGTGCATCAAGCTTACACAGCTTGCTGTGCTGTGTTAACTGCTTGCTATCATGTGTTCCCTGCAGGGTTCACAGAAGGCCCATTTACGCACAAAACAAAGACGCTTTCTGCAGTTCAGGAGGCTGCGAGGCCAGCTGGTGGGGCCCCTCTTCCTGTCATTGGTCACATCCAGAATGCCTTTTAGTCTGCAGGTTTGGCCCAGAGTTAGCCAGACTCAAGGCATGTATGTCTGAGAGCATAACCTGGCAGCATTGTTACTGAACAGGAGGTCCCGGGGTGAGGGGGGCAATATTTGGCCCACCTAGGGATGCCAAAAACTGCTACAGAACAGGGGCCCTTCCCAAGGACAAAATACTAAAATCTACTGGGCTCTTCTGTCTGCCACCAATTGGAAAGACATCTCTCAATGCCAGAGACTTGTGAAGAGGACACAAAATGTTTATTTAATGCTATTCAGGCTTAATGCCTCCCCTAAAATATCAAAGTCCTTTAGGGTATACACCTGTATCCACACAGCGCTCCCTTCTCCCACTGTCCCAACTCTGGGTACTGTAAATCAGGAAAAGAGCACACATCCCTTTTTCAGGCCGCTGGCACCATCAGCTGTGTTTACGTGCAGGCAGGATCTCTCTCTAGTTAATCCAAAGTCATGTAGTACCCTCTCACTGTCCACTGGCAAGAGTTCTTTGTACCCAGTCCCAGTCAAAGTCTGTCCTGCTTTCCAGGCCACGTGGCCAAAGGGGGCACCCCAAAGTCACGTGGGCTTCTTCTACCAAAGCTGCAGGGGTCAGCACTCTGACCAAAAGCGCGTGTGTCTTTCTTCTTCACCTGGCCGCAGGGGTCCCCATTCTGGCAAAGCTGAGTGGTACTCTTTCACTCTTCCAAAAACCGAGTTGCTCTCTCTTTCATCTGGCTGCAGGGGTCTGCACTTTGGCCAAAACCACATGGTTCCCCCTCTCTTCACCTCGGCAAGAGGGGGTCTTAACTCAGCTGAGACTGCGTGGCTCTCCCTTTCATCTGGCTGCAGGGATCCCCATTCTGGCAAAGCCGAGTGGTACTCTTTCACTCTGTTCAAAACTACATGGCCCTCTCCTCACCTGGGCAGTTCTCCCCTCAGTCCCTGAGCCAGTCTTTTCCAAGCTCTCACACAGGTCCTGTAACTTGGGGGACCTGCCCCCAGTTACCTCTTGGGGGAAGTGACTTCATCCCCCTGGCTCCAAGCCTGGCCACAGCCATTTAACATATCCAAGTGACCCGCCAAAGGCTATAGATACGTTAAATGACCCTGCCATGGATTAGCTGCAAGGCTGTGGCTGTACAAAACAGCCCTGCATGTTCCTGCTCCTTGTGTCCCTTCCCCCAATTCACACCTGAGGGGAAAGGAGTGAGGACATCTTATATGTCTCTCCAATATTCCTATACACCTTGAGTTCTGGACACCATTCCAAATCTTTTTTTGCCCCCCACCCCTTGGCTGCACCCTGTGTCAGCATCACTGTGTGAAACTGAATAAGAAGTCCCAAGGAAAGTGAGGATCAGACATTAGAAGCTGGGAAAGGCTCACACATTCAAATGCTGGAAGAAAAGTGTCTGGGGCCCACTGCTTCATGTGTGATTCACTGGCAGGTGTAACTAGCAGGTGTCAGAAAATACCTGACAACTCTTACACTTGACTAACTTTTTTTATAACAAGCTATATCCCATCTTCAAAGAAAAAGTTTATTTCCAAAGTCATTTGTATGTCAGTTGTTTGAACCTGGATATGCTTTCATTCTCAGAACAGATCCTCTAAATTCATGTACCCTTGTAGGCACTCATTCATTCTGAATGAATCAATAGATGCTAATAAGTACCTACTGTGTGCCCACTAGTGCCAACCAGAGCAGTGAACAAAGCAGACAAAAATATTCTTGCTGTCCTGGAGCTTCAGTCCTGGTGGGAGGAAACAGACAATAAATAAATAAGAAATAATTAAGAAAAGCATGTTGTATATTAGAAAAGGATACATAAAAATAAGAAAAAATGAGTATGGGGAAAAGAAGTGGTGCGGCATGTGGTTCTGGAAGGCCCCACTGAGAAGGGAGCGTCCAAGCAGGGACCTCCTAGCTGAAGAAGTTAACTGTGAAGGTATGTGGGGGACTGGTGTGTTGCCACTGTCCGAGGCCAGACAGGTTCATGCAATTCGGGCAGAGGGAAGAATAGTCACAGAG